CCTCGTCTCCCTGGAGCCCGCGGGGGCGGCCGCCGGCTCCGGCCTGGGCCCGACCACGCTGGCCACCCGCGTGCTGCTGGGGCAGGACGAGGTAACGACCCGCGGGACCCGTAACATTAGCTTATACCGCCTTCAAAAGGCGGTTTCATCCCCAAAATGCACGTGTTTGCTCCTTAATGCAAGCAGAGTTTAGCTAACTGTGTTCCCCGCGGACCTGCCCTCCGTATCCGACAGGATGTGCGAGCTCGGCTGTGTTTGCAGGAGGTTGATACGGCGCCTGTTGATTTAAGAGCAAACACGTGGCCTTTGATACCTATTTTCGTTCTCGGTCCCAATCGGTTTTCCTTTCCCAGCCCCATTTCTCCCTGCTTCACCGTGCCAGCCCCGTAATGGACTTCAGTTGCCCTCTCCCAAGTGTGCCTGCCAGCACCTGCCTGTGATAAAGTTTAATTTGTTTTGCCTCAACAAAATAGGTTTTTTATCGACCATTTCGCAAGGCTGGAGAGAAGGCAAAAGAAAACATATTTTGCAAAGCGTCAACTAGTCAAGCATTAAACAAAAAGTTATAGAGCTACAAGATTATAAGGCTTTCCATCAGGCTTGGAGCTGTCAAATATTACTTGCTATCCTTAACTAGAAAAACTCTGGCAAGGCGAGTGCCTGATGCTGTTGACAGCTTCTCTTTATGGAGTTCTCTTTCTTCAGCAATAGCCTTCCTCCTTTGGCTGTAGGATACTTTGTTTTCTCTGGTGTGATGTCTGCTAATTCAAAAAAAAACCCAAAACTCCAGTCTGCCCTGATCTGTTTATATGTGTTTTATTGGAAACAGTAGGTGCCTTTATTTACTTTGCTACATAGTATTTTAAAAATAATTTTAGCAAGTTATTCAATCTAAACTTTAGGAAAAGGCCTTTTACTAGTTTGCTAACTTCCTGCTTTTCATTTGGGATGGCGCAAGTTCCAAATCATGCTGGTAGCTAAAATCAAGCAGACTAATTCTTCAGGTAAATATCTAAGAGAGTGAGTGTAAATGAAACCTGGACAAAGCTATATGTTCTTGTAAAAGAAACCTCATTAAGAAGATAATATCCATTTTCTTCCCTCCTTTAGCCTTATTATTTAGGCTTATTTCTCATTTTCAATATTTCATTAAAATCCATAATGAAATGGATTTTACATATGGTGTCCAAAGTTTGTGTATAAAACGCCATGCCAGGGTCTCTAAGAATTGCTAAAATAAGGCCATTTTTCTTTCTTTCTTTCTTTTTTTTTTCTCCAGAGTTTGTCAGCAAAACATGCCTTGTTCAGCAATAAATTTTTAAATGAAAATAGAACCTAGGGACTTCTTTGTAAGTCAGTTTATGATGGTAATAGAAGTATTTGGATCCATGGCATTTCATATAACTTGATATTTGGTGGTGTCATTTGCGTGGGAGGATTAGCAGAAGCAAAAAATCTCCGACTGGCTTTCCAAGTTTTCCAAACTGATGCAAAACTCCATTGAAGTGCAGCTCCAGTTAAATTGTTTCAGGGTGGTTTGGGTGGCTACCACTCTTGGGCCCCAACTGTTCCATTTTAAGCTGTCTGAGAACGTGCTTTTCTGAAATGTCTTGTACCATGGTTTGGCGTGGCTGACCAGCCAGGCTACGTGTCTGTTTCAAATCATCTTTAAACCGTTCAGCAAAGCGAGTGCTAGGGCTGAATCCAGCACAGACAGGTCCTCAACCTCCTTCACGAACAAATCATTGCAGAACTTCTTGTCTGCTGATTAATGTGGGCACGTTCCCCCCAAATCTAATGGTGTGTATCCATATATTCTTGCTTTTCAGCCCCTCGTCCACGTTTGTGCCAAAAATCTCGTGACGTTTGTGTCTCAAGAAGCTGGGAACAAACCTGTTCTTCTCGCCATGGCTCTAAAGGACAAGAGCGTGGAAGGAATACAGGCTCTCCGGGAAGTGATCCGAAGTTGCCAAGTGTGGTGAAGTTGTGCCATCTGGATTCAAGGAAATGATCTTGAGTCCATGACTCATCACCACTCTTTTATAAAAGGACAAAAAATGAAAATGATGGAATGTCTTTGTGCTGGTTTTGGACACGCTGAGGAATTTCATGACTTTTTCTCTACTGTGTAGAACGTTTGTGGGTTTTGTTATTGTGACAGGTTTGCAGTCCATACAGCCAGTGATTAGATGAGAACAATTGTCTCAACGTACAAGAGAAATTTTATTTTTATCACATCAGGTGGGATGTGTATTTGGAAAACTGCACAGCTCTGCGTTTGCGTGCTGATAAGTGCTAGATTCCAAACTCTGTGACTACGAAACACTGTACTGCAAAGGGGAAACACCCATAGTGGAATGAATAAAAGAAACGTTGATGAATCCTAATGTTACTGGGTTTTTTTGCTAGACAAAAATCACTTCAGTTGAAATATAAGCCTCAGTCACAAATCAACAGCAGCTACATAACAGGAAGGATTATCTTGCCTTTTTTTTTAAGGAAATGAGTCCTTTATGACTGCTTTTATTCTTATGTCAGTGCCTTTCTAACATATTCTGAACCCACTCTCCAATTTCAGTCAGATTTTAAAGAGCGATTTGTAATTACACTGCACAAGTTTTGTGAAAGCTGATGTCAGGGTATAAGAGAAGAAACCAAATTAGTGGTAAGGAAAAAGACAAGAAAATCTCGGCTATTTATATATTATATGGTACCAGCCCATCAGGGAGTCAGTACCACCTGCACCCCTGATGTCCCCATCACAGGGCATGGGCAGGGAAGGACACGGATCACCCAGGAAAAAAAAAAACGAGCGTAGCCTGTGCAAAGTCCTGTGAGTTAGTGCAATGTTGCCTATCCCAACTTCTGTGTGGAAAGCTTATCTGGTTTTGCCTCTCTTCTTGTAACAAGTAGCACCAAGTAGTAACTTATGAGTAACTCATTAAACATTTTGTCACTTACGAACTTCTCTGAGCAAACAGAGACCGGCCCTTGCGTCTAGATTCTGAGCAGCCTCTGCCGTGTTTCGGACCTGTTCCTAGCAGCAGAATTAAAAACACGCACGTGCGTGTCCCGCAGAGACGCAGTTCCTGCTACATAAAAAGACCCCCAAGCATGCAAGAGCAGATGATTCTTTTCTCTAAAGTCAGGTCTATTTACATTATTTAAAGCATTATGAGAAATGAAACTTTTTTTTTAAGCAGTTCAAAAAAACTGCAGGCTTGCAGCTGCCCTTCACAAGAAATTTTGTCTAAAAATAATTTTCCAAATTGTGCTTCCAAGAACCAAAGATGTGCATCTGTCAGAACTCCAATTTTTCCATTTTTTTAGACTTTTTTACACTTTTTTGGTTTAGGAGGGCTGGAGGAGGCATATTGAGTCTGTTAATGTTGATCCTGGTTTGCTGGTAGAGATTCTTTTCTGACACAGAATGAAAGCGTTTCCCCAGTTCCCGGGGTTTGTGCACTGCCCGTAGCCTCCGCACCTGCAGGAATTGCAGGAAAGGGAGGAAACAGGGTCTGGAGCGCGTCTCGCCCGCGGTGTCACAGCACGCACCGCTGCGCCCCGAGCACGGGAGCCGTTTGCTGCGGAGCCGCCCGGTGTCACCGCTGCCCCTTCCTGGCCGGCCGTGTCACCGGATCCGCACGGCGCAGGTAGGAAGGGACGCAGAGCTCTGCCCTGTCCCGCGCTCCGCGTTGGACTCACCTCGCCGCCGTCTGCGGGCGATGGCAGCACCGCACGCGTCGCCCCCAACGCGCAGCCTCTGCGCCGCGAGGAGCAGGAGGACGAGCCCGGCCGTTCGCACAGCCCCGTTTTAGCCATCGCTGCCCTTCTGCGGGCAGCGTTAATTTGCGGTGGCGATTGCCAGAGAACCCTTTGCGGCCCGGGAGCGCTTCCCGGGGGCAGGCGGTGCCGCGGCCTTCGAGCCGCGTTTGCTTTCCGGGTGCGGGTGCCAAGCGTGGCCGACTGGAAAGGTAGGTTTGGTGGCTTTTCCGCCGGCGGCGCGGCCCGCGCAGCGCTCCCGGCCTCCACGGAGCCCGGGGGCGGCCGGCACGGGAGAGGAAGGTGCCGGAGGAGGAGTCTCCGCGGGGGATGCGGAGGCAGGTGCCGGGAGCAGCCGGGAGGTGCAAGGGGAGAGCGCGGATCGCCCCAGGGATCGGCCCCACGCTCCCAGCCCAAACCCCCACAGTGCTTTAACGAGGACGCGGTGCTGCTCCGACGTTTTGTTTTACAGGTCTGTGCCCCGAGGTTGGTGCTGGGAGGCTGTTCCAGGTAGGTGCCCTGTGGCTGGGCTTTGTCCGGCAGCGATCGGGAGGAGAGGGCTCTATCCTGCACCAGGACAGCCTTTCCTGGCTGGGAGAGCCTGCTTGCTGTGTCCCTGTACAGTGGGCCCGCAAATTTTCCCCTTGTGGGGTGCAATTTCTCCCCTTGGCGGGTGCAGTCTCTCCCACTTGCCAAGTGCCAGCCTGGTTACAGCCGGCACAAGGCCAAGCATCGCGACCGGGAGACACCGGTGGGTGACTTCAGGCACTTGCAGTTTCCTCCTGACTTTGCAAGGAGCCCTGGGGACAGGCTGAGTAGGGAGGCGAAGGGGCCCAGGAGTCCGGGAGGGCCGCGCTGTGCTCTGGCAGCCTGCCCGTCACGGGGAATCCCTGAAAGGAAGTGAAAAAATCCATTTTGCAGGTGGCCTTCCTAAGCGAAGGTGTCACTGCTGCGGTTTTGCCTGTTTTGGGCTCATTTAGCATCTCTGGTGTTCCGCAAGCTGTACCGGGTCCGCTGCTGCGAGGTGTCTTTAAGCAGCCAAGCTGCAGCAGCTGCGCAGCCTTGCTGAGGAGCTGGGTTTTATCACTAATATTATTCCCCTCTGCTTTTGTTTGGGAAGCAAATGGGCCTTGGGCTGCATTGAATTGCCCGGTTACCTTGCAGAGCCGGGATCTAATTACCTCGGGAGCCGGGAGCCCTGGCTCCGAGTGGCACCGAGCCTGTTGTTTTTAATGACCTGCTCGGCGCGTTAAGAGCCTCACGGTGACAAAAAGGCTGCCAGGACCCGCGCCTGGTGCCAGGGCGGTTTTGTCCCGGGTGCCGCATGCACACCCGGGATGCAAACAGGATTAAAGGGTCTTGCAGTTAACACGGAGCGCATCCTCCCCCATCACAAAACGTTGATGGATCTGTTCATTTTCAGCGCTTTTCCCCTTTTCTGTGTGGAAAGCGACAGCCTCGTGGCGAGGAAGCCGTCGGGGCCTCGTCCCTGCTCTATCTCAGCCTCCGGTTAATGTTTAGACGGCAGGTCCCACGCCATACCCATCTGTCCAAAGAGCAGCTGTGCCGTGGATATCCTGCTTCCGTGTGCCGGGGGAAAGGCCCCGGAACCCCACGGCTGTCTGCAGCACCGAGGAAAAACCCGCTGCCTCGGTAATCCCACCGGCACCCACCGGGCTTTTCCTTCCCCAGCGCCAGCATCTCCTCTTGCAGGCAGTTCCCGGGCGGGCGGCAGGCGCAAGGCGGGTGTTTTTAGGCCAGTGGGTTCGATGTCAGGTTGCCCGCTCGCCAGGGAGGGTTGGGAGAGGGTGGCAGAGTGCGGAGTCCCTGCTCCGGGTCCCCTTCTGTGCCCAGCTGGATGGAGGTCATTCCCTGCCGCTCTTATCTGCCGAGATATTCCTCTGCCTCGCGCCAGGCCAAGCTTACAGTTTTTCCTCCTGGTGATAGTTACCCGGCAGCTAAAATCACTGTTTATTAACAGTGCCTTGAGCAGCGTCTGTTTTATTAGAGAACCGGCTGCAGGGCTTATTAAAAATAAAAATAGTGTTGCCGTATTACCAGAAAAAAAAAAAAAAAAAAAAAAAATTTTTCTTTGATT